GAGGGTTTTAGTTAGTTCATTTTTAGCTATTTTAGCCAAAATTTTATTTTATCTGGCTAGGCTAGTTTCTATTTTAGCTAGTTTTGCTAGTTTTCGTTTTAGCTACTTTAGCCAGTTTTTATTTTAGCTAATTCAGTTTATATATTTCTTAATTCATTTTATTTTTTTAGTCATTCCTTCTTCCTTTTGACAAAATGTTATTTCCAGGACCAGATTTGTAAATGGAAATGCCCTGAGGCAACAACAAAAGGACTCGTCAGAATTTTTAAAGAGTTATTAGTAGAAAAAAACATGTTACGGATAGATTGTTTTTCGTTGGGAGGTCACTTTTGTCTTGAGGTCAGGGCTTAAATCCAGCTCTTTGGTCATTCTAGATCAATTTCATTTTTGCGTGCTTTTACAAAGCAATACGTAATCATTCATTATAATATCTATATAGTGTATAATATATACTCAATAGAGAAAAAAACCGTGAGCGCAGGCCAAGCCTCTATACTCGCATGCAAACGATATAACCAAATATCAGGTTGGTGCAAAAATAATGTCGGTTTTCTACCATCCATTTTAAAATGCAATAACCCAATTTAATAAAATAATATATGTTTATTCACTGAATGCTCAACTAACCAACCCAATTTCCTGGATGTTGTTCTCATAAGAGCAGACGCATCTAAGAATGATATCCAACGTGAGAGCCGATACGTTGTTCGTTATTTTGATCCTTTCCCCGCTTTCGGCATACTTTGATAGTTTATTCTGTAATCGAGTTAATTTGTTATAACAGTTTTTAAAAAAATTTGGAAACGTCTCATAGGTTCGCATGATTTAACTGCGTTGAACCAGCAATATACAGTTATAACTTTGTCTTTTAACAGGTGTGATTGAGATCGTCTGGGACATTACCAGAAATATGTCAACGCGTTCATTTTCAACTGCTATAAACTTGTTCAGGCTTTCAAAATGGAAGGCAGGTGTAAGAAGTTTCCTGTTTCGAAACCACTTGTCCTCAGAACTCAGTATCAACCCATTCCCTATCCGCTTCATCCCAAATCTATACGTACCTGATGTGATAGATTTAGGCTCTGCAGTTTTGGGTAAAATGTATAAATAATTATTTTAACAATCGAGTTTAAGAAAACCATAACTATTATAGAAAATGTTTTTTTATATAGCGCCACAATTCTCAGAGGTACCAGTAAAGTTTGGGCTAGTGAAAATAAATTAGCAAATCGGCGTCCTTAGTAAAATTAACGAAAGTTATGAAGCCCTAAAAAATAAGAACATCTCGATTACAAGAATCATCATTAGTATAACACTACACTTTCAAATATTTTTGATTCGGCATCACTACTGACTGACTGACCTGCAGTTTTTAGAATACTCTTCATGGTGTCTGGGTGGCAGACGTGAATGGACGGTTTGAGCCAGTTTAGAAACCAGAATCCATAAGCTCTCGTGTACTTACCCGTCAGGTACTCAAAATATTTCAGACCTTCATCGTTCGCTCCTGGAAACTATAAATTGTTCTTTGTCTATGATACAAATTTTATTTAAAAAAAAGTAAAATGACTGACTGGAATGAAACTAAATTTGCAACATTTTTTCTTCGAAAATGTTCATTTAAAGACATAAGAAAAGTTATTTAAAATTTGTACTGAGTGTATTCAACAATAAAATGGCAGAGGTTCCTAATCAGCTAGACAATCAAAATTACCAAGAAAAGTTTTTCTTAATTTTAATAAAATTTAACAACGTTTAAAAAAAAATAAAATTTCGTATCTACTCGATCAAAGTGCCCCCACAGCCAGTGTCTTTTTTCCATTGGAAACATGTTGACGGTGTCTCGAACAATCTTCATCCTGCGATAACTTTGTAGAAGTTGGTAGAGGATGTAGGTAGTTATGAGGGTGGAAAAGATGAGGAGGTAGTTGGGAAGTGAGCATGCGATTTCCATAATGGAGTTGTCTGGAAGGGAGTTTATAAATTTTATTCGAACGTTAGCAACATAAGTTGACAAATTTTGTCAATTTATAAACTTTTAAATGAAAAAAAGCAACAATTTAATATGTATCAACAGACCTAGAATGTATTTCAATTTTTTCCAAACATCTAAAACGTCAGATATAAAAATGAATTAGTTTTAAAAGTTCAACGCATAATAATGAAATCTTTAAAATTAAAGTCAATTTAAACTGAAAACTGGCCTCATCAGTAATATATTTCCAAAATAAAAACTTCAGAGATGCAAATCGAAACTGCCTAAAATGCGTTCACATGTACAAAGTTCAGTTTAATACCACATAACAACAAACATTTCATCACTGTTATGTTGAATACAATAAACCACATATTTTGAATGCATGTGAGTAATACCTATACTGATGTATATGCAGCGTAGAGCTATGATATTGTGATGTGATGTATTATATTGTTGAGGCTGTCTATAGAAATGGTTCACAAATGTGTGTTGCTAGTTGGACTATTTTTTAAACAGAACCATTACGTGTTTAGATAACACGTGAACAATTGAAACGTGAACAGAACGCGCAGGCAAACAACACTTGTACGTAAACAATTCAGATACCAATAAAAAAAACTCAAACTCGAATTGCTGATAATTCAATTTAATAAAATCATTTTTTGATTTGATTTTAAATGTCAATTGGTGCTAAAAGAAGACATACATTGCAAATTATCATCAGTAACACAACGGTGAAATTTTCCCAAAATATATTGGAAGATAGATTAAAAATCTAAAAGCCTAAATTTTAGAAAATCTTTCCTTAATTTAAGATAAACTTTGTTTCACGTCAAACTAGAACCAAGCTGACATGTGCGTGCATGTTCTCAAATTAAGAATAGAGGAACACGGATATATTTACAATAACTTTCTGCAACAAACCTTTCTCAGCCACAACTTATTTGTGTTAAGTAGTAGAGCCACAAGCAGAGAAGATTTCTCTAAACCGCAACCAGCAGGATCCGCGCTGCTCATTATTCGCATCCGTACCGCACCCGCGAAAAGACAACCTAAGTCGGCCGTCTTAATCTCATGTTTAAAATTAGAAGATAGCAACACTAGAAAGCGATCTATTTACAATATAATTACAATCAGACAGCAGATAATCTGCTGAGAGGACATCTTTCAATTTAAAAAATTTCTAACTTAATAATTGAAATAACATCGGCTAAAACAACAAGAACACAATGAACGACGAACTCGAAGAAGCAATTTATTTATTTATTTCATATTTATGAAGAAGTTTTATCATATATACATATATATATTATATATATTATATATATATATATACTCATGTTTTATTTATATATATAATTTTATTGAAACAGTTTTGAACTCTGAAAATTTGGATGACAAATAACAGTTTATTTATGTTTCATATAATTGTGATTTAGTTCAAATCTAATTCAATAAATTGTCAAACTTTTGCTCGTAACAGTTTGAATAGATCAACTATATACATTCATTTTGCAAGAAATAAATTTCATCTTTTCTGAACTTTCAAAAATAACCCATCCTCAGTTTTCACCAGTAATCCAAATTTTCTTCTCGTAACACGCTGCGAATCAAGACTGACTGATAAGCTAAAAGGTAAAAATGTTTCATTTCCTCGTACAATCAAACCATCGTACGTTTTGCAACATTCACACATCATGCGTACTACAAATAACCGCACAAATATTAAGTTTGTAATAAAAGTTATCATTTACTTGTGCAAAATTTTTGCCAGGATAATTTTCATCTGGTTCATGGCGAAATTCTGCCCAATGCAACTCCTTCAACATTATGAAATTTACAGTTTCAAGAGCAAGGCATGTGAATGAATGTTTATTTGTCAACCTTGGTCCAGCGGAGAACGGCAGGAAGGCGTACGGATCCATCTTTTCAAAATTTTCTGGAATGAATCTTTCCGGGTCAAATTTCTACGAGCCATTTATATGAATAAATAAATGAATGAAGAAATTAATTTGTGTGCAATTAATTTCGATCAGGCAATTAAAAAGTAAAGAAATACGTTTTCTGAAAGCGTTTTCTTAATAATCTACAATTTAGTTTTCAAAATACCTTATAACATTCACTACAAGTGTCATTATTAAAAAAATCTTTTACAAAGTATTTTATTGTTTTACCGCATAGTTAGTCCAGACTGTTTCATTGTGGTGCAGATGGTAGAACATAGGGCTGACCACCAGACCAGCCGGACATAGCCTTCCATCGATGGACATCGGTTTCGTCAGCTCCCTCTCGACAGCTGGCACGGTCGTGTTCAAACGCAGAGACTCTTTTATGCAACATGTTAAGTAGGAGAGTTTTTCGAGGTCTTTGCTTCAGTTGAAAAAATTATTTTGCTACTCAAGGGGAGTTTAATCAACTAAAATTAAAATGGCATTGATCATGGAATCAAACTTTCAAACTGAAAAATGTATTTAATATACATATATATATTAAATTATTTATTTTTACTATAAAATTTCGCTGTTTCCTCTTCCCATCATCATCTCGTCAACCTCATCCTGACATCGCTTCTGAATTTGCGGATTTTGTGCTAGACTGTACAAGGCCCATGATACTGAAACTGCTGTTGTATCGTGGCCTGGAGATATCGTTTGTTAATTTTTAGTTCTCTCACAATTATTTAGTTATCTAAATGAAGTTAACGCGAATACTAAAAACAAAAGTGTCCTGTAAAATTTTCTCGTTTCATTATCATAATTTATTATTCAACTTGCCTGCAAAGAGTATGGTGTTCAGTTCAGCTCTGATCTCTTCATTTGATAATCCATTTCCATCTTGATCGCGGGCTTTCAACAAAACATCCAAAATGTCATCATCTGCTCTGATGTTCTCTGCTGAAATATTCTGCTCCTCCTATTTCATAACATGTATATGCATTTAAATACGATTAAAATAGATTTGTAAAAAGGTACAGTCGGCACACCTTTCTTTTCTTAATAAGTTCATCCGAAATGTTGTTAACGTATTTGACGAGTCGTTGGAACTTCTTATAATCAGCCGATAATTTGTATAAGATATCCAAATGCTGCCACGGAGTGCTGAAAAAAAATGTTTGTCGTTTGGTGATTTTGAAATTTGTTGCTAATGATTTATGCATGGGGAAAATTGAATGATCTATCTCTTACAATAATCTTTTCATCCAGAGTTCTTCGAGATTGTGAATCGCTTCCAAGTACGGGTGCTGTTCCCTGAGGTCATTTTGCGATATCATAATAAATGAACATCTTGCTGTCACACTTTTATCAATTTTTCTTGTCGAATTTTAAATAATCTTTTGAAAATATAATCAAGCATGTTTGAAACTTAAAAAAATAAAATTTTTCCAACAGAAACGCAACCACCTACCCTATTTCTTGAATGTTGTTTTCATAAGAACACGCGCACCTGAGTATGATGTCGAGGGTGAGAGAGGAGAGGTTCGACATCATTTCAACGCTCTTGCCCCTTTCGGCATACTTGGACAATTTTTCCTTGAATGAAATAATTATTTTTAAAAATTTTCACACTACTACTAAATTAAAAAATGTAAAATATATTCTTAAAAGAAATATTCAGCTTACAGAAATACGTTTTAAACATAAATTTTCGTTACTCGTAACTACCAATAAAGGAAGTGTTTTTGGCACAAATAAAAACTCCCTCACTATGAACATGTCGACGCATTTGTTTTCTACTTTTAGAAATTTATATAAATTGTCGAAATGGAAAACAGGAGATAGTAATTTTCGACTTCTCAGCCATTTGTTTCCGGAATTTAAGACCATCCCATTCCCAATCCAATCCACCGCATACTTGTACGCTCCTTTCGTTGTAGCTTTAGGTTCTATGGAACGTGGAAAAGAATGAACATTAATTAACAATTTGTCAACTTCTCGAAAAAACGCTTTTAAATAACTATATACGCACCTGATGATTTCAAAATACACTTAACAGTATCTGGATGACAGACTTTCACCGACGGCTTAAGCCAATTAAGAAACCAATACCCATAACACCTTGGGACTTATCAACAA